AGGCAGCGTTAAGGAAATTAATGAGGACAGAATCTTGGGAAGGAGTAAATAATTTCTGACAACAAAGCTGTCTTGCTTCTGTCCCAATCTCCCCTTGAAGAAATGGTATACCATTCTAAGATACAAAAATTAAGTGCCGGTAATTTCAGTATTCCCCTTGGCCCCAGCTTTCCCCAAGATTAAGGAATAGCTCAATAAATGGACTGATACTCCCCCAACCAAGTCAAATGGTGGTAAAGGAGGTTGTGTGTGAGCCAGAACCACTGTAGAGCCTGTAAGGTGCTGAGGATCGTTTCCCTGTTCCTCCTTGTGCTGCCAGGGGTGGAATCTGGCCTTGCACATGTTAGAAGAGCACTCTACCACTGAGCTCCAGGCCATTTGTTTGCCTCAAATCTCCATCTGGTGAGGAAGGATGGTCCACGCCTTGGGGAAAAGAACATGGCATGCTAACTTCCATTTGGAAGACACGAACTTCTAGTTGAGAATGCCTATCACATCTCTTTTCCTTGGGCCCCCTGCCCCAGCCCTGACTTTTTGCTCTTCCCCTAAGCAAGACAGGGCTTACACGACACAAACTGAAGAACAGTTTGGTATATTACTACTTCTGGCTTCGTTAGTAATTTTGTTATTATGCTTTCACTTGGTTACAACCAAAGTTATTATAATGTGCAAGTTGCCACTATTTTAGAAAATTAATTGCAGTTTTCTGTTACAATATTGTGCCTTGTTCCAATTAGAAAATGAAAGCGGAGAGGGAACACAGGCAGTTCAGTGTTTTGGGAATTCAGCAAAAGCAGCTCAGCAATCTCTAAAGTCTAACTTACAGCACAGCAGAAATGAACGGAAAGCCCTTACTGCACTCGTGAGAGGAACCAAATAGCAAAGCAGAAGGAGTCAGAGAGCGGAACTCCAGCTAGGGGCTCTCTCTGGTGGACAGAGGAAGGGAGAGAGCAACAGAAACCTGGACCATTCGCACTGCTCTCCAATTATTAGAATTACAAGGAGCCTCAGAAAGCAGAGGGGGGACGCTAAAAGATCTTACCTTCTAGAAATAAGGACAAAACTGAAAATGACTCAACATGAGGAAGCAAAGACTTGAAGAGGTATAGATAGTTAAGAGAGAGGCCAGAGAAGAGCAACACCTGAAAAAAGACAGGAGGTGACCTCAGGCGCTCAAAAGGCTGAACGCAAGACACAACGTAAACTGCTCTGCTTCATCAGACCCTCCCACCATGATGAACAGAGGGCAGCTCTGAGGCCAGGCTAGACTGGGTGGCAATGTAGTTAAGAGCACTCTGGTCTTTCAGCTCTATCCTACTAAGTTACACCAGAAGCATATATAAACAGCTGAAGATATAATGGAAATAAAATTGTCTTCTAAAGTCTCAAGCAAAAGGGCAGGGAGATGCCAGGTAGTGGTGGCCTATGCTTTTAGTCCCAGTACTCAGGAGGCAGAGGCAGGTGGATCTCTATGTGTTCGAGGCCAGCCTGGTCTACAGGGCAAGTTCCAGGACAGCCAGGGCTGTATAGAGAAACCCTGTCTCAAAAAAACAAAAACAAAAACAAACAAAAAAAAGCATAAAACAAATAACAACCAAACAAACACAAAACAAAACAATAACAAAAACAAACCCAGATACTGCACCACTACTACACCTTTTAAATACTTTTTCTCATAATAAGCCTTATAATAGATTGGGCTGGCCTCAGACTCAATCTTAATTCAGCCTCTGAGTTGCTGGGATCATCAGAACCAGTCCTCCTCTGACTGTAAGTCTAAAGTGAATCTGTGTTTAAGAGGGACCCTGTTACCCAGGAAGCACAGTTCTAATGTCCAAGGACCTCTGTTGAGAATCACTGATCCAGAGGTCTGAAGAACCTTAGGATAAGCACACCAAGGCTACCAGCAATTAGCAATCCATTTACGGAAGAGATTTCATATGGGATCCTGTAAGAGATCATCTCCTGGGAGAGACATCACTTAGTGAAAAATAATATAAATCAATGCCCTAGAGGACTTTCCCCTGGGAATGCCTGATGTTACAACACATTCGACTCTTTGAGTATTATCATGGGGAATCTAAGAAGTGAGTCCAAAGATGGGGGTGCAGGGCAGAGAAACTCTAGGTTGCTTCTTCACACAAGCGTGTTTCAAGGGCAAAGCTACCTCATAGGTAGAGAAGCTCCTATGCTAATCTATGCACAGAGGGGGAGACAGAGATTTCAGTACCAGTCAACAAAATTCCAACCCGCTGAAAGGTGACATAGCTCAACTAAAAGAATGCTAGGCTGCCAGCATGTGTGAAGTCCTAAGTTAAATGCTTAGCAACACACAGGCGTACACAACACATGTGCCCTTCTTTCCACTGAAGAGTGAGTTAAGGGACATTTGCTGAATGCTTTGCGTTCTTTGATGTAGGAGCAACCAAGAACTCAAAACCCAGGAAACTACAGTCAGTGGGATGTGAGAGTGAGCAAAATCTAGTTGAGATAACTACTCCTCTGGGCAAGAGGAGTGCTTCCCAAGGAGATTTTTCCAGTCCCGTCTGTTTTCTTACCTAATGACAAATACACTTACTGAGAACCAAAAAGTCTCATTGGGGGTGGGGGGCCTGCTCAGAAACAGCAGCTTGCATGAGGCACACAGCTGGTTAGCTGCTATGAGTCCCTTAGCAAGACAGCAGTGGACCAACTGGATCATAGTATCTTCTCAGCAGAATCCTTCAACCAAATTCCCTCAACTTTTGCCTCACATGATAAATGACACCTTAGCTTTTGCTTGTAGCAAGCTGACCTTATCCAGGTGTTTTTGGCTCCTCATGAAAAGGACGGAGGGCCAATAATCTTTGCCTAGGACCTGGATAAGAGGTATGGCTTTTCAAAGTAGCTGGAGTAGCTGGAGAGGTCTATTAGCATTACCGAAGTAAAACCCATAAAGAATTCTCAAAAAAAGTTTTTAGTCAGTTAAAAGAGCTGTTGGGCCCAGGATGTAGGTGGTGAAAAACAGACACCAGGTGCTTTTGTTGTCTGTGTAAGAACACTACACTAAAACTCCACTTCTGCCTCAGATATCTAGTTCAAACCATCTTGGTGAACTACCACGGTCTTCTCTTCTTTACCCATTCAGATCTCAAGCACCACAACTCTCCTGCAATGACAGCCAAAGCAGAGTGCCTTGCGGTTGCACCTTTCAGAGCTTTTCAAAGATGTCACTGCTTCTGACAGCTACCACCTGAAAATGGTGAGGGGTGAGGCTGTTTGCTTGAGAGTCTCTTTCATCCACTTAGTTTCTACAGTGCATCCGCTATCTCTATTAGGTACTAGGATGTTATAAAGAGAAAACAGACATGGTTTCTGCTCTCTGGAGGTGCTAAAGTCCAGCACAGAAAAAACTGCAGGCTGGTGCGATGTGGGAGGGATCAAATCTATAAAGAAATCTGCCAAAGGAGAAGACAGACATGAGGGCAGCTGGAGACATGGAAGAGGAAAAGAGCCCAGGATTTAAGGTGTCCTGGCACAAAAGAGCCTTACCAGATTCCGAGAGACTGAAAAGCAGTTCAGTACAGTCAGCCGAAAGATACTATATATAAATTAAGAAAACAGAGGGAGACGAGGCCAGCAAAGGAAAGACCCTACCAAGCATACCCTTCCATCACTTGGCATGTTACGGTCTTATCTCTAACCTTTTTTTTGGACAACAAATGCTTCCTAGCCCAAGCGTCAACCAGCCTCAATAAGTACAGCACTAAATGAAGGGCTCTGGGAACTATATTCTTAAAGAACTTACACTAAACCCAGCTGGGTTAGATTAACTATACATGATACACAAGGAACACAAACAAAACAACACCACCATCAATAACAGAAGCCCACCAAATGCACCAAACTGTAAATGGCACAAACTAGACAAAATACTGAGGAATTAATTCATTGGTTCTTAGATCAGAACAGAGCTTAAATATTATTTAATTAGAGAAGTGTTCAAATGCTTTATTCCCTTGACAAAACCCTGGTAAATAAGCCCCTACAGAACGTGGGAAGTTCAGTCAGACACACTAGTCAGGCTGAGTCCAGAAAGCAACTAACTACATTACACCCAAAAGGTTTTCGTGGCCAAACAAGAGAGGAATGGCTTAGACAGGAGTAGGTCCTAAATGGGATTTCTGCTCTGTTGGTAAAATGGGTGTGTGACAATTCAGAGCAAAGAAGCTGCCTAAACCAGGCAGTGGTGGTGCACGCCTTTAATCCCAGCACTCGGGAGACAGAGGCGGAACTCTGTGAGTTTGAAGCCAGCCTGGTCTACAGAGTCAATTCCAGGACAGCTAAGGCTACTTAGAGAAACACTGTCTTTAAAAACAAAAACAGGGGCTGGAGAGATGGCTCAGAGGTTAAGAGCATTGCCTACTCTTCCAAAAGTCCTGAGTTCAATTCCCAGCAACCACATGGTGGCTCACAACCATCTGTAATGAGATCTGGTGCCCTCTTCTGGCCTTCAGGCAGACACACAGACAGAATATTGTATACATAATAAATAAAAATATATTTAAAAAAATAAAACAAACAAACAAACAAACATAAAAGGAGCTGCCTAAAGCCTCTGGGTACTCAGTTCATAACCTCGGGGGTGACAAATTTCCTGACTGGAGTTAGTTGATGCTGGGGAGTCTCTTGCACACTAAGCAAGTATACCACCAAGACATAACTTCCCATTGTCTGTTTTTATTTTAAGGCAGGGTCTCATTAAGTAGCTCAGGTGGCCTTGAATTTATACTCTAGTCTTAGCCTCCTGAGTAGTTGAGATTATAGAATAGTGTCAACAAGCATGGCCAAAAGTTCCTAACTTTCAGTAGTTCTGATCTTTTAAAGTTATTTGGCTCAAAGGTCATCGGGACTACAACATTTCTTTAGGATCATGATGGTGCTGGTCCTGATTGGAAGATTGTATCATAGTTCCTCATTACCCTGCCAAATTCAGGAAAGATATAAGCAATGGCACTCACCCTCATGGAGGTCTCACCACCATGGGCTTGTTGCAGCCTGAAGACCTGGGCAACCATGTGCTCTGTGGAGGGGTGCAGCAGGATCCTTCGTGAAGCCAAGCCCACCATTACGTATCGGCCCATTGGAGACAGGCTCACAGAAATGGCATTGGGACCTGGGGGCCAACAGAAGAGAGTCACATTTCCCAGAATGCTTGCCATTCCATGGAAACAACTTTCCTATTGTTGGGCTGTGCTCAGGCGATCTTCTAGGTTGCAGCAGTTAAAGAGGCAAGCGCGCCTGCACCAAGCAAAGGACGGTGCACGCGTCAGCACTGTGGCTCTAGGACCGTGCACGCGTCAGCACTGTGGCTCTGTGACTTTAGAAGACTGCTGCCATACTATAAGCACTGTCTAAAATCTTTTCTCACTTAGGCATTATAAATGTTTTCTGTCATTAAATAATCTGTTGTAAGAACAGTTTTAAAGCTAATGTATTTAGTGTTATCACTGCATGGTCATTTATTTAAGCTACTGTTAAAAAAATACTCTTGAAGTAAAAATTTGATGTTTTCCTATATGATACGGTGCTAACACCCTTGTATGTAAATCTTTGTAGTTTTCTTGTTTTTTTTTTTTGTTTTTTTTGAGACAGGGTTTCTCTGTGGCTTTGGAGCCTGTCCTGGAACTAGCTCTTGTAGACCAGGCTGGTCTCGAACTCACAGAGATCCGCCTGCCTCTGCCTCCCGAGTGCTGGGATTAAAGGTGTGCACCACCACCGCCTGGCTAGGAGTTAATTTGTTGGATTAAGAACATGCATATTTGGAAGGTTTTTAAAACACAAAGTCAAACTGCCTTGCAGTATATGTGTTTGCCCAGCCTTCCATGCCACAACTAAAAAGCTCCCTCTTCCTGCTCCTCTGTAACAGAAGTATACTGGTGACCTACTGTGCCAGGGAGAACTCTCACTGTGAGGCTCTTCTATAACACTAGATTCCTAAACACCGATCCTTCTCTGGCCTGTGCCTCATTGAAGGCAGAGGCAGTACATGACCAGTTCCTCTCACCCATGCACACCGTGCCTCACCTAGGAATGCCTATGCCAAGGCATCAGCGTCAACTCTGCCATTAGGTTGGGCTTCCTATCCCTTACCAAATCGCTTGGTGTAGAGCATTTCCCCCAGGTTATGGGGGGCCAGGGAATACACTGCCAGGATGCCTTCATCAGGAAAGCCCCTTTGGCTGCTTGGGATGAAAGCTGCCAGGAGCTGGCCATCTGCAGAAATGTCACAGCTGGCATCATTGTAGATCTTGCAGTTCTGTACCAGGACATTCACGGAGGCTGCAGTAGACAAAGAAAAGGGGAGAAGCTTAAACACCATGCTAGTAGAAATTCTGAGACCAAGATGTTGTTGGGCCTTTCTAAGGGGGGTGAATCCTCTTTAGAAATGGGGCAAGCTGCCTTCTTGAATTTAAGATGCTGGGAAGCAGGAAGCTGGGAGACAGGCAGATCTGTGCACCCACCACTCAGTAGGAAATATAGGCCAGTCCATTACCACCACAGCCACCAGCGAGTCTTGACTCACACTTGATTAGGTAAGGAAAACGGAAATAACAAGTGCCCTAGAGAGCAACTCCACTGCTGTGTTGTTTTTTGTTTTGGTATTTTGAGACAGGGTTTCTCTGTGTGGTTCTGGCTGTCCTAGAACTTGCTCTGTAGATCAGGCTGACCTCAAACTCACAGAGAACCTCCTGACTCTGGCTCGCAGGTGCTGGGATTAAAAGTGTCTCTTATTTAAAAGAAATGTCCACCGCCAGAGACACTAAAGTTAAAAAATAAGCTAAGAGCAAAGCCAGGCCAAGCTCGGCTGCCCTCATCAGATCTAGGTAATGTATTCTAGTAAGTCAGACTATAGGAGTGAGATGGTAAGAGCAACCAGCTAAGGAAACAAAACAAAAAGATGGTTTTAAAGGCTTATGGGACTGGAGATTGAAAATGATGTGTAAAATTGTTTTTGTTCCCCTTTCCCTATGTGTTGCTAACCAAGCTACAGAGATAACAGAGTAGATAAAAAATGACAGCAGAACACAATGATTGGCTGTTGTGCCAATCCCTAGGGGCTGACACCTGCAGCACCATTACACATAAACTGAGGCTGGTTCTGTTTGCTAACTAATAAGATAATGACATCCAAACACTACTGTTATCACCATTAGGCCTCTGTGCTGCTCAGCTCCCAAGCTACCATCTGTCCCAGCCTCCTTAGCATGGAACCGTCTGCTCCTGCACCGGGTCCTAAGCCCTTCCCCAAAATATGGCAGTCTCTTTCTCTGGAACTACATGAGTCCAGGGAGGACAAGACACAAAGGAATTACATGAAACTTCAGTAATGAGTTCGTTTTCTTTTTCATTCATCCATTCTTCCCTTCCTTTTCTCCCTCCCCTCCCCCTTCTTTCATTCTTTCTTTTCTTTCCTCCCCCTCTCTTCCCCTCCCCCTTCTTTCTCTTTCCTGCCCTCCCTCCCTTTAAGACAGGCTCTGTGTAGCCTTGGCTGTCCTGAAACTTACTCTTTAGACCAGGTTGGCTTCGAAATTACAGATTCACCTACCTCTGCCTCCCAAGTGCTGGGATTAAAGGTGTGTGCCACCACTACCTATTACTTTGTTTTTCTAATCTTGATGTAGACCTAATCCTCAGTAAAAGGATTAACTACAAAATGAACAATTTGGACCTTTACCACCAAAGGCAGGGAGAACAGAAATAAGAAATATTAAGGAGTGAGGCTAGAGAAATGGCTCAGCTGTTAGAGGTCTTGCATAAGACTCCAACAGGACCTAAGTTTGAGTCCCAGAAATCATATGGGGTGGCTCACAACAACCTGTGGTCACTTGCATGCTTATAAGCATACATATACAAACACAAATACATATGAATAAAAATAAATCTTAAAAATATTAAAACTTGAGAATAGGAAGGCAATATAGAATGTTGTAGACTGTTTTAAACCATTACCATTGTACCTATACTCAGTGTCCCCAACATGCATAATGGCTCATCTGTCTTGTTGGTAGATATCTAGCTTGTATATATTTGATGTGGAATTCCCCTCTGTATGTTGTAAATACCATTGGTAAATTGGCTTGGCCTGATAGGGTAGAGCAGAGCTAGGTGGGGAAAAACTAAACTGAATGCTGGGAGAAAGGAGGTGGAGTCAGAGAGAAGCCAGGGAGTCTCCAGAGACAAACATGCTGGAACCTTGTCAGTAGGCCATGAGCCTTGTGGTAAAATATAAAATAATGGAAATGGGTTAAATTAAGGTGTAAAGGCTAGCCAATAAGAAGTTAGAGCTAATAGGCCAAGCAGTGATTTAAATAATATAGTTTCTGAGTGATTATTTTGAGTCTCAGCAGACAGGAACAAACTAGCAGCCACCCTACAACATATATCACCATGCATTTGGATGAAAACAGAAGTCTATAATGAGCTGAGCCTGCCGGCCCTGGCCTGTACTACCAGCTCCTCAGAAGTTTAAGGCCAGTCAGGACAACTTAGTGACCTTAGTATAGAAAGTAATGAAGAGGGCTGGGGATATTGTAGTAGCAGAACACTGGCTGTATGCATGATACCCAGTTACAATCCCATTACCACCAAGAGGTGGGGGAAGGACCACAATGACCTTAAACTACTAACATCTTTTTAAAAGTATATAACTGATTACAAGGATGAGAGGTGGGGAAGAAAATAAGGTTTTTCTTCTGGAAAGCTTTGGCGCAAAGCCTGTGAAAACTGAGCAGATGGACAAAAAGCATTCTGTTAGTCTCAATTTGAAGCCACTATGCTTGTGTTTGCATTATCTTATGATAATTCCAAGTCAATGGCCAATTTTTGCTCCCTCTTCCAACTCCACCCAATTTCATCACAGCTCCTGATGACTCCAGTAAGCTCAGAAAACCAGCTAGTGATCCGTTTATCTGGGCTTGTGTTTCTACCCTAATAAAGGCATGTGTCAGGTACAGAGGAATATGGTAACTCCATTATAAACAGAACCTGGAAGTAGCTTTACAATTTCATTTTTATTTCAAAGCTCCAATTAGCAGTTTACATTTGTTGTTTGTTGCTTAATAATTTCTGGTATAGAAACAGAAATAGTCAGTTATAATAAATAGTGGTCACTACTTTAATTCCTGCATGAAGCTTCCCCTCACAAAGCAGAAATTTCAATGAGTTAACATGTACAAGAACAGTACTTGGACCTCTGCTACTTTTCTTGGGCAGAGAAAAGTAAGGTTCTAAAGGCAAAGAACAACTTATCCCTTTCTGGATTCAGCAATAAGGTAAATGCGCAGGTAGAAAGAAAGATGTGAGCAAAATACAGCCTGAGCCACTGGAAACTGTTGATGCTCCACACCTCACTCTGCCATGCGGCAAACTCCAGCAGTGACACCTAAAGAATGATAGGCAGAGTCTGAAAGCCTAGATATGATAGGTCTTGGATCACGGTTGACAACTCAGTAACTGGCTGTCCCTTAGTGGTGAAACAGACAGGTAAGGATGCTAGGACCGTTAGCTTAAGAACTGGGGACAAGTTGGGCAGTGGTGGCGCACGCCTTTAATCCCAGCACTCGGGAGGCAGAGGCAGGCGGATCTCTGTGAGTTCGAGACCAGCCTGGTCTACAAGAGCTAGTTCCAGGACAGGCTCCAAAGCTACAGAGAAACCCTGTCTCAAAAAAAACATTAAAAAAAAAAAAAGGGCTGGAGAGATGGCTCAGAAGTTAAGAACACGGACTGCTCTGCCAAAGGTCCTGAGTTCAATTCCCAGCAACCACATGGTGGCTCACAACCATCTGTAATGAGGTCTGGTGCCCTCTTCTGGCCTGCATGTGTACATGCAGGCAGAACACCGTACACATTATAAATAATAAAGAAAACATTAAAAAAAAGAAAAGAAAGAAAGAACGAACGAACTCGGGACATAACTGAATGGAAGATTGTTTATGTGTTAGGCTCTGAATTCAATCCTAGTACAGAAACAAAATAAACAAAACCAACACTGCTTAAGAGGTTCAGGGGAGCCCAGCACATTAGTGCACATGGATAACCAGGGCACTGAGGGTGAGGACGCGCATGGGCAGGACTGCAGCAAGACTGAGACCCTAGGTCAGCTAGGGTTACATTAGGCTCTCAAACCCAACCAACCAATGAATGATCAAAAATAAACACAAAACCCACCAAAAAACAAAAAAACAACAAGAAGTTCAGGGGTACCTTCAAAGGGAAAAATGATGAAGGAAACAGCAGGAAGCCATGCTTTTAGACTTTGCAATACTGCCCGAATTAGAAATTATTTTCAAGTGAAAATACCTTAGCAGGGAACAGGAGGGGCTAGAAATAATGATGCCTGGAGAAGCAGACGGCTCTGCCTTCCTATCAGATCCATAAATTATAAGCAAACACCCACAAAGATCCATGGGTAGCCTGCTACTGTCCAGATGAGGTCATGGGAGTGATTGGCAGCTGCAGTACTTTACAAATGCATCACACACAGACTTGGAAAACCCAAGAGGGTTTAAATCAGAAGCAAAATTTCCTCTTGGCTACATCTCCGAGTCCCTCCACTTACAGCAGAAGACCAGAGCTCCAGGTGGCTTTACAAACAAGCTTGACAGTCACTACATCCCCTGTAGAGGTTGCCCTGGACGACTCAGCCACTAGATCTTATGACCTCTCTTCCAGGACACCTTACTGATCAAAGCCATTCACCAAGGAAGAGCCACGTATAGCAGAACACACCTTTAATCCAAGGATTTGAGAGGCAGAGGCAGGTGGATCTCTGTCAGTTCAAAGCCAGCCTGTAGAGTGAGTTCCAGGATAGTCAGGACCAGGATATAGAGATTTTGTCTCAAAATACAAACAAACAAAATAATCCCCAGAGTGAAATTTAATTGGCTTTTCTCTTCTCCTCCCCTCTCCCTTTTTTGTTCAAGAAAGTAGCATAAAAAGTCTATATGAGGGGCCAGAGAGATGGCTCAGTGGTTAAGAACACTTGCTGCTCCTCAAAAGGGCATGGATTCAGTTCTCAGCATAGATCATTCAGCTCACAACTTCCTGGAACTCTAGCTCTGGGGAATCCAGCGACCTCTTCTGGCCTCTGAAGGTACCTGAACACATAGAACATATACATACAGACACTCACACACATAAATAAAAATCTGCATGAGGTGAAGCTTTATTCACTAAGTTCTAGCATCTAGCAAGAATTCATTAGATCCCTTAATCTGAAGTGAGAGAAACAAGTAGCAAGACTCATTAACCTAATTCTAGAAAAGGGTTAAATGTGATGG